TGTGTGTGTGTGTATGTGAAAAATCAAGGACTCTGAATGGCTTGCAGAACCTCCAACTTCATCTCTGGCTAGCCCTGGTGTATGTACTCTCCTCTACTGACCTCACCATTTTTCGAACATGACAAACACAATCTCATTTCAAGGCTTTGCAATGCAGTTTTCAACACTTAGGCTCTGCCTGCCCCTGAAATTCTATGGCTCCTTTCATCACCTTTTTGGGGACTGTGGTGGTTTGAAAGAAAATGGCCCCCAAAGGAAGTGGCATTATTAGTAAATGTGCCCTTGTTGGAGTAGGTGTGGTCTTGATGGAGGAAGTGTGTCACTGTGGAGGCAGGCTTTGAAGTCTCATATATGCTGAAGCCATGCCCAGTGAGACAGACCACTTCTCGTTGCCTGCAAGGTGTAGAACTCTCATCTCCTCTCCAGCACCATGTCTGCCTGCACACCACCATGTCCTGCCATGATGATAATGGACTAAACTAATGAAACTGTAAACCAGCCCATCAAATGTTTTCCTTCATAAGAGTTGCCGTGGACATTGTGTCTCTTCACAGCAATAGAAACCCTAAGACAGAAACCTAACTCAAAAGACTTTATCAGCTCAGCACAGCTTTCCCTGGTCAACCTAATCCAAATTCATGGGATCCTACACACATGTGGACACACAGAAGCTCTCTTACTCTCTCTCCTCCATTACTCTAGCATACATCACTGTATCAAACTATATAGTTTCTTTGTCATGTTTCTTATTTATCTCTACCACTGGAGAGCCAACCCCATGACACTGAGATTCTGTTTGTATATTGTGTTACAAACTACTCTATGGCAGTGAGAAATGAAGTCAATGATTATTTGTTGAGGGAGTGAGATATGAATGAACTGATGACCATTCAATGCGGTGCCCACGAACTTGTGTATCTAAACCTGCCCAGAGCACACTTGGCACACTCATTCCACCTCTCACTCGGGGAGGGGTCTCCATGCCACCCTTCCATTGGCCCAACAAAGCCCAGCTCTTTGGAATAACAAATTGCAAACCATTGATCCTGGTGGACTGACAGGTCCTATGTTGCAAAAGATTCTATTCTGTCATTCTAAGAAACAGGAGAAATTCCAGTGATTTCAAGACTCTTCCTAAGAGCCCCTCACTTAAAAAGCAGAAGAGGCCAAAGTCACAATTATGAGAGACTATTCCTGCTGGAAGCCATCCCATCCTCTGCTTCACAATGGCAGCTGGATCAGGAGAGGGCATGGGGCTAAATAGGCAGGTGAGCTATGTGCTAAGCCAGGTACTCCTTAGTGCTGTTCAAACAGAAGCAACAAGCTTTTCCAGGATGCTGTGCCATATAGGATGAGAATAGGTTTAAAGTTCTTAAACCACTCATGTATGGAGTGTCTCTTTTGTAGCAAGATGTGAAATTAAAGAAAAGGAACTTCCTATTATCTTCTCCTTCTTCCTTCCCTCCTTAGAATTCATGAATTTGCTTAAGTCATTTATAGCACTCTTTTATAATCCGTACAAAAAAGTTTTTCAGAATCCTAAAGACCATGTGTAAGAGAGAATAAAAGATGTAAAATAGACAATAGTTATCATTTCCAAACAGTGCCATGAATTCTTTTTTCACAAAGTGTCTGCTTCCTGCTCTCAATGTGCCAATCTTACCACATCCATTTGTCATCTTGGAACTTAGCAAAAAAAAAAAAATTTAAATCTTTATTTTCAAAAATTCATCTCAATCTGAAACCACTTTGACTGCTCATTTAAAATTCCTTCCTCAAGATGACTGTCACCCTGAATTGTAGAATGTTCATAAAGTTGGGTCCTAAATAATTCCAGCTCCTCTGTGCTGCTTCAGGCTGCTGCCCTGGACTTCTGTTAACCTGATTGCTTCCTCTTCCTGGTGACATTCTCACAGTACCCAGGATTCTTTGAATTTCTCTGTGTTTGCTTCCAGAGAAGGAAGTTCAACACTGAGAAAAGCATTAGCTAAAGGACCAAAGTGATGTTGCTTCTTTCAAAGTCTATGTTTCTCCGTTGGTGTGGGAAGCAAGGACTCTACACAAGGAACAGCCTCCCAGAGTTCCCCTATAACCTGCTGTGACTGTGAAAGCTGCAAAGGGAGAACATCCTTCTGCTCCCTTGACGGCTGTTCATGCTGTTGCTCACACACTGCATATTGTGTCATCAAACCAGATGTTTAAATTAAGTATTCATTCCAAGATAACTTGTCATCCTGAATGTCTTAGATTTGACCTCATCAATCATTTATTTTCTCAGAAAGAAGCAATGCTAGGACTTCATGGAGTCTAACTCTGTGGAGCTCAACAAAGTAAAGAAAAAAAGTGTAAGAATGGATCCAGAGCTGAGTTATCCTTTCCAATTTTACTATGGGTTTTCTAAGTTCTCAACAGTTATAATGGGCTATGATGACACTCAAGAATGCCTTACAATGTAAGGTTGGTTCCATATTCCCAGATGAGCAAGCTATACTGCTTGGTGCCCAAACAGTGGCAAGTTGTCTCAAGTCACAATGGAGTCAGAGGTGCTGCAGGCCTAACTAATTAATGTTTTTTCTCTTACACATGGCACGTATAAAGATGTGTATCAGATGTGTCATCTTGGGCTGGAGATGCAGCCAAGTTGGAACAGTGCAGGCCTAACATGCATGAAGCCATGAGATCAGTCCCCAGCACACAGAAACGGGGTGTCAGTCTATGCCTCTATAACTTAGAACTCAGAAAGTTAAGTC